CACGCACGCGCGCACGCTCGCACGCACGCACGCACACACACACACACACACACACACACACACACACACACACACACACACGACCTAAGAGTACACACAACATAGGAGTACATACACAATTTTTGTACACTGTAAGTAATACATTATGCATTATGTGTATACTCCTGTAATCGGCTTTCCTAGCACAGGAGTCAAAGATCACTGTTTGCACATTTCTTATTTTGTACCAAATGTAATAAAATTGTGAATTGTGTAACTTTTCCTTATGTGTGTGTCAATAAATTATTATTATTATTATGGGGTATCTATATAGTTTTCTCATCTGGTTGGGTTCTATAAATATATAATTATAAATGAAAATGAAAAGATAAATATACATAAATATCAATAACATAAAATAAATATAAAAGTTCATAAATAAATAAAAGCCCAACCAGATGGAGGCCTCGGCAGGGGAGACCAAACGGCCGAGGGTTAGGGGGAAAGGGAAAGAAACCGGCGGTCGATGCGGGCGGTATCGAGGAGCACCGCCTTCTGCATTTGAACCTGGAGCGGTCCGCCACGTAGTCCCAGCCGCCTCAGATGACCCGAGAGGCTGACTGGGATTAGCCCGTTTGCAGAGACGACTACAGGAATAATTTCGGTCGGCAGACCACCCCACATTTCGGTCACCTCGTGAGCCAGGTCCAGATATTTTGTTTGCTTGTCTGTTTCGGCTTTCACGAGGTTCTCGTCATATGGAATGGTAATGTCGACCAAAAATATCCTTGACTGTGCCCGGTCCATCAGCACAATATCAGGCTTATTCGCAAGAATAATCCTGTCTGTGATGATGGCCCGGTCCCAATAGAGCCTGGCGCGATCATTTTCGAGCACGGCACAATTTTATTATTATTATTATTATTATTATAAGTATTAGTGGCAGCCCATGAAGGTCATCCTGGAATTGTGCCTATGAAAGTTAGTGAAATGACAAGTTACACAAGTAGTGGGGGTAGCACGCCATTCGGTTGTTGCACTGAGCGCCGGCAGTCAGTTGCTTTGTGAAGTGCTCCGAGGTAGGACGTGTACCTTTTGGGGGCTTGGTGTGATAGTGAGCCAGTGTTAAGAGTTGTGAATATTATACTATAAAAGTTCTACACCGACCTATTAAAAGTTAATATTCAAAAACTGAAGGTAGGCTAACTATGACATTGGGACGTCAAACATCTAAGTCCCCCCCCCTGACCATGGGTACTGTAAAGCACTGGAAACGACGGGAATTAAAAATAAGTTATTAAATGCTATAAAATCCGTACATATAGTTTTATTCAATATTCACTATTCAATGTGTAGTATTCGCTTATATTTAAGAAATCATTAAAGAGGTTTGTACTTTATGTTATCTACATTGTATTTGTAGAAAATATAAATAATGATAATGTAAATTAAAGGGTTGTAAACAATATGATGTTTACTAGCTCCTACCTAAATTAATTATAGAATAAATATAAAGAAATTAGAAATAGAAAACTTATTTTTTATTACGTATAATGACAGTAATCATTAATCGCTATTTATAGTATAAAGGAATATCTGGGGGCACGGCAGTGCCCCCGCACGGTATATTTCAAATTTCATTCAATTTGAACCAGTAGTTTAGGAATTATAATTAGTCAAAGTTTCTTAATTTTGTCACCAGTAGTTTAGGAATTATAATTAGTCAAAGTTTCTTAATTTTGTCACTCACTGACTGACCGATTATCAAAACTCTAAGGCACTTCTAGCAGACATAGAAGCTTCAAACTTAGAACACAATTATTGTTTAGTGTATAAATCAAGGAAAAACTAAAATATTTTTCAATTTTGGTCCAGTTTTCTAGATACACTAACTGCATAAATAATATATACATTAGGGCCAGCGCACTGGTTCGTTTTAGTTGTTCGGTCAGCCCGGTCCTTACGCTAGTAATATATAAGTCAATGATCTACACCCTTTATTCAATTATATTATACATATACATTATACAGGTACACTGATTCATTTACTGCAAATGTAACTTTGTAATTATATACGTATATAAAAATTATATAGTAATCGAATCATATATATATATATATATGAAATTACAGTTTAGGGCCAACGTGGTAGTTGAGCGCGCGCAGGACAGATTTGACTGTCATAAATATGTCTAGTTGCGTGGTAAAAGAATGCAAAAATTACTATACAAAGATTTAAAAAAAAAGGGGATATCGTATCATCGGTAAATAACCTTATATTAATTTTGTTACAATTAAATTATTATATAAACGCATTTTTAACACCTTTGACGTTTCATGTTTCTTTTTTCCCATGTGCCGGGATTTTGGCGTCACGCGTCTAGTTTATCTATACGTTTCGTTTTTTGACGGTTTTATTTTTATTGCTGTATAATTTTTGTCCAAAGAACTTAGTGTAAATTAAATTTTGAATATTGGTACCTTATATATTTTATATTCAATAAGAGTAAAACGAAAAGAGTACAAAAGAAACCATATCTGCTTAATTGAATCTGAAAATCTAATTCATAAAATAATTTGAAATTCTGTTTTCAAACCGATTGCTTCTAGAGCATAGAGTTTTTATCGTGGTAGCCCCTCATTATAGTTGTATCAAGGATGCAACATAAATGCATCGATCGAACATCGATTGACCAGAAAAGGAGCTAATTCTAATTTTATTAAAAACGCGGTTCTCATGTACAATACAAAAATTTTCGATACCGTAGAGTTAATATTAAAATGTGAAAGGACCCAATAATAATACATGTTGACTTTTAGGTAAAATTATGGTATTTTTTGCTTTGTATTATTACTATACTATATACTACAAACTACGAAATAATGGTACAATTAGTATAATTATACTACGAAATCCGACCCTGGTTACGTCGTGTTTTGATATGACGTTTGTATTATGATAGATGCGCTACTTTTTCTTGTATGAAAAAGTTATGAGTAAAATATTTAGACGGGCCTATCCTTTCGTTTTGAAATCATTGGTGTAGATAGGTACTTTGTTGGTAATCGAGAAGTAGAAGGTACCGGAAGGAAAAAAAGTAGGACTATCTGCAAAAAGAAATGAGGTGCCATCAAAAACATAACTTGTAAAAAAATAAGTCTCGCAACTTACTTCTTCTATCGTAAAAAGTTGTGAGATCCATGTAATACCAAGTCGGCTAATTTATTCAGTCCCTACTTAAGAGTCCTTCTGTCTTAAGTTATTACGTAATTAGCTAACATAACAAGATCTTATTGTGACCATATCAATATTAAAAATCTTTTATGTTTTATATAAATAGATTGACTTGGCAATCGCACTATTCGATTTTATATAATATGTATTACTTGTGAGAAACATTGCGTTTTCATGCGATGGCCCGAGTCAATTTTATTTATTTATTTAACAGTTGATAGGAAAATGGTAAAAACAAAATTATGTACAAAGGCACTGTTTATTCCATAAAGAAATTTCTTCCAGCAGGCCTATTGAAGGATAGTTGAAGGAAATAGAGGTAGCCAAAGTGTGCACATATATACATAAATATAAAATACAAATATAATATATTATAAGAAAAAAAATATACAATTAAATATATTATATTTTTAATGTTACATATATGAATATCTACACATCACGAATTAATAATTATGGTGTGAATGATAGTGCTCTTTAACAAGTCTTTTAAACATAGACACCGACTTAGCGTCACGAATCCTAAAGGGAAGTGAATTCCACAATCGTACTGCGTTAACAGTAAAAGAATGAGAATAGAGCATTGTATTGAAAGACGGAAATCTTAACAGTGTTCTAGTATTTGATCTACATGGAACATCTGGAGGATGAACAAAAGTAAAGCGATTTTTTAGATATAGCGGAGTATCAGGGTTATGTAGAATATTGAAAAGAAGACAGAGGATTCCAGTGTTCCGGCGAAGTCAGATGCTGACCTTTAAGCTGCTTGCGATAAACAGAGACGTGATCGAACTTCTTTAAGCCAAAAATATATCGAATACATAAATTTTGCAAGCGCTCGAGTTTATTAATTTGCTCCTCGGTAGCATCCAAATAGCAGACATCAGCGTAATCTAAAATTGGCAATATGAGTCTGGACTATAGATATCTTAGTAGACAAAGGTAGAAAACTTTGAAAGCGTTTTAGAGAATGAAAGGCGTGAAATATTTTCCTGCTTACATCCGTAACATGTGCGTCCCAAGTCAAATTGCAGTCGAAAATAACACCTAGGTTCTTGGCAGTATCTGAGTAGGGAATAGTGTAGAATAAACTTAAAGTACTTGATGATCACGTCGTGCTAAGGGTCGTCCCTTTAACATGGGTGAGGAAAGCTGTGAAAGGTGTGACTACCACAGATGCTGCTTGTATGAATTGGTCTGTTTGGGTTGCACTTGAGCTTTACCCACTCAAAACCATTAAAAAAATTATCAAAATCAGTCCAGCTGCTTAGGAGGAGTTCAGTCAAATACATACGAATGGAAGAATTATGTATATAAAGATTTTATGAATAAACTACCTTGATTAACTATAGGTCTTAGCCTATTCATTTTTTATAAATAATACTGTATAATTGGCCTTAAAACTACTTAAGATTCTTAGTTTTTCTTTCTTTTTGTTTAAATTTAAATAACAAGATAAAAAGATTTAATTCTTAAAATTACTAAAAAGAATATTTTACAATGATTTTACTATAATTTACCATGTCTTTATTAATTATTTATAACATTTGATCCATAGGTATGTGGCCTATATGACTTTACCAATACATTTTGTCAATATTCTAAATAATGACAACATACTCATACATAATTTTAAGCTCCCACATAGACCAAAGTTGTGATGGACACAAAAATTTACAGAACATTTTTTTTTTGATAGCAACAGAAAATGTTCTGTAAATTTTTCAATGGACATTAAATTATACAATTTATCAAGTTAATAAGAATTTTTAATGTTAATTTACAGTGACTTACTGATAGGAATGAAGGTGGACCGATCAAAGGATGGAGATGATGTCATAAATAGGGAAACCAGAGGTCAACAAGTGAAACGACTTGTAGAAAAATCTCAATCAGAAGCTCCGAAAACAAGATACAACCAAAGAAAGCAAAAAACAGCAACTGAGAGACAAACTGTTAAAAAAAGGTAAAAAATGTATTATATAATGATTTCTTATATTTACGCGAACACTACACATTGAAATAATACTAGTTTTTACGGAATTTATCGCGTAGTATATTTAACTTTTTAATACCCGACGTTTCGAACGCTTTACAGCACTCATGGTCACGGCCGGGACTGAGATGTTCAACGTCCATATGTCATAGTTAACCGCGGTTACCATAGATTAAAATTAGAGAAAAAAAATTTAATCTATGGTAACCGCGGTTAACTATGACATATGGACGTTGAACATCTCAGTCCCGCCCGTGACCATGAGTGCTGTAAAGCGTTGAAACGTGGGTATTAAAAAGTTAAATATACGCGATAAATTCGTAAAAACTAGTATTATTTCAATGTATTATAGTTCTAATATGATTGTGATTTCGATTTTCAAAAAACTTTTTTATGCCAAGAATAGATGTTTGTTATTGGGAGTATTATTGATATTTTTGTATTTTTTTTTATTTTTAAGATTAGACGGGTAAGAATACCTACATCGGTGTGAGAAGCGAAGAGAGGGGATGGGTTCAGCATCTTTCTGATAACAGCAAAAATCAATAAAAACCTGCCAATACCAATCCCCTGGCCAAGCGTGGCAACTATGGCAATATACCCCCCATGAGCAACGACACAAATATATGGCCTCCAGTCCCCGGCGGCCCTGCTATTCCTGGCTATGGTGGCATCTATGTTAATAAAGAGTCGTCTCTCGAAACTGAAGACCGAATGTGGCGGAATCGTTTCTGGGACACCTGAATTCTGAGTGAGATTGAGAGATTCTATGGGCAGCAGTACACGTCTTCGTTGGAGCCACACGCAAGTGTGAGTAACGATGCAAGTCTCATCCGACACTATTCCGATGATATCCCGGACGCCGGTCTGAGCGTGATTAAAATGGCTCTAAAGCACCTTAAAAACGGCAAGTCTAGGTGAGGATGGAATTACAGCAGAGCTTCTGAAAGCGGGTGGAAAACCGATACTTAAAGTTCTTCAGAAGCTCTTTAATTCCGTCCTCCATGGTTGCGCTACTCCGGAGGCGTGGATCAGAAGCGCGGTGGTCTTGTTCTTCAAGAAAGGCGACAACGCTCTCTTCAAGAATTACAGACCGATTTCACTTCTGAGCCGCGTCTACGTGCTGTTTTCGAGAGTCATTACGAATCGTCTCGCACGTAGACTCGACGAATTCCAGCCTCCCGTACGAGCCGGTTTCCTTAAAGGCTTTCGCAGTATAGAACACAGAGAAAGCCTTTGGTTCCGTTGAAATTTCGGCGGTGCTGCGGTCCTAAACCCAACCTACCTACAGTCAACTTGGTACCGCTGAATTTACCAAGTTGACTGTAGGTATATCGAAGTGCTGAAGTGTTTGTACAATAGGGCTACGATGGCTATCAGAGTACATAAACAGAGTACGAAACTGCAGAGAGATGTAAGACTTGGTGACGTAATATCAGAGAGGACGTTTTCAATCTACCTGACTGGAAAGGATATGGTATTAACGTCAATAGCGAGTAAATCACTCACCTTCTATTTGCCTACGATATAGTCCTTATGGCAGTATCGCTGGATGACCTAAGCACCATGCTCAATGACCTCAATATTGTCTTCCAACACATAGGTCCTTAATATGAACATGGACACTACACATGAAAAGTCATGTGTAATTTCCATGTCACACCTGTGCCGGTGGTTGTTGGAAGCACTTGAAGCAGCTTGAAGTTGTTGACGAGTATATTTACCTGGGACAAATAGTCCGACTAGGTAACTTCAACGTCGACCGAGAGGTCAATCGACGGATTCAACTCTGCTGGGCAGCGTTCGGGAGATTACGACACATCTTCTCGTCAGGCATACCTCATAATCTCAAAACAAGATTGTACAACCAGTGCGTGTTGCCGGTGATCTATGGATCTGAGACGTGGTCCTTTAGTGCTGGCCGTATGAAGAAGCTCAATATCGCTCAGCGAACTATGGAGATAGCTATGCTCAGTTTCGCTGCATGATAAACTTAGAAATAAGGATATCCGCAGTAGAATCAGAGTGACCGACATAGCTCAACGGATTAGTAAGCTGAAGTGGCAATGGGCCGATCATACAGCTCGAAGAACAATAATCGTTGAGGAAGAAAGGTTCTCGAGTGGCAGCATCGTACTGCCAGACGAAATGTAGGGCGACCCCCACTAGATGGAGTGACGACCTGGTAAGACATGCACGAAGTCGATGGTTGCAGATGGCTCAGGGCTGTGCTTTGTGGCATTCCTTGTGGAAGGCCTATGTTCAGCAGTGGACTTATGAAGGGCTATAATGATGATGATTATGTCATATTATCAGAACTATAAGACTAATGCCCGAATACTACTCAAATTTAAGAAGCCGTTAAGTCTCGCGCTGTCTCTATCACTTTAAGTTGAAGTGACTGTGTCACCACGTGTCTTAACATAAATCTCATGTTGGGTAATTTCCTTTAAGCTTTTTAACAAGACTACTCTTTCTATCATTGCCATTACATCATATCAAAGGTCCAAAACGGAAGCTATGTTTAAGGTCTATGGTCAAATAAAATAGACAAATCAGTTATGTGATCAAAAGAATTAGGTATGCACTTAAGACAGCTAAGACGTCATTAGAACTAAGGAGGGAACACGGAACGGTGATCGGTCACCAGGAGAAGCGCAGGGAAAGAGGCGGGGTTCGGGCGCCGAAACCTTATTACTATAATGCACCTAATTGTTTTGGCCAAGTTGTAACTGCCATATTTATTAAAGATGGATAGTATCGTGACCGGTGACGGGAAGTAACACGAAAGATGTAAAACATCTGGTTCAAGTCGCCATTTCGCTAGTAAAGCTTACAGCAACAAAATCCCAAATTCCCAAAAAATATGACATCCATCAAGTTAAAAATTTTATTATATAAAGATGGTTGCTATTAGAGATGAAACGGAATCCAGTAACTGTCTGGTATTAGGCCTATCCAGCCGGATACCGGATTTAAAAAAAATACAAAATATCAAATTTAGTTAACACTATGACACTTAACAAATATGAGCAGTAATCATAAAATATTCATTTTAAAATTTAGAAAAATAGTACTCATACTGCACTAAGGGCAAATTATGGTGCATAAATACTAATTTCTCTGCATTGAAAGGTAACAAGCAGTTTTGCTTGACTTTATAAACAAGGCCAGCTTCAGAAAAAAGTCTTTCGCTGTACACACTGTTACAGGGTGTTGAAAGATAGCTTTTGGCAAACTGCTAAATTAGGGTATTGTGTAGCATTAGCATAGTAAACAAACAGCAAGCTTATGATCATCACTACTGATTTTATCACTGTTTATATCATCACTACTGTTTTTATGATAGTTTATATCAAAATGTTTTCCATAAAGACAATCTTTTCTTTATTGATGTCTTTTTTGTCAATAAATCTGTTAAAAATCATAACAATATTTCAAGTAACAAAACCAGGTATTTTAATGACCTCAAACGATCGTGTTTGCAATCAATACAACAAGTCAATAAAACAATTGCTAACTTCGCTCATGAACGAAAAGACCCAAACTAAGCGATAAGACTGGCCGAATATCCGGTATCCGGCCAAACAGCTATCCGTTTCATCTCTAGTTAACAACATAACATTGAGCAACAATGTATGATGTGCTATGTATGATAATAACCCCTGGGAATGAGGTGATTGCTACCAAGCTATTTCTAAATTGCTTTGTGTTGTAAATATGCAAGGACTTGCATCCTAAATATTCAGGCAGCAGCAGGAACAATTATTTATAGGCGAAACAAAAACAACAATCTCTTCCGTGCGGAATTTGAATCTGCGCGCTATGTCACTACAGTCATATGATAAAACACTGAGCTACTGAGCAAAGTTATATATATATATATATATGTATATATATGTATATATACATACAGGGTTACTGGTAACTCGACGTATTCCCGCCAAGGCGTGATAGTTGGGGTCATAACCTATCAAATGAACCAAAAATGATGAAAAATGATATTACGCCGTATTGCTTAGCAGAACATCTTGCCTACATCTGTTTCCAGTGATATTTCGATGGTGTTGAGGTTTTCAAATAATCCGAAAATTACAGAAATCACTAAAGAACTCGTTGGGTATTGGTCACCACTCACTAATTTAGTTGCGTCTTCGAATATACCTAAAACATTTACCACGTCTTTGACAATTTTTTCTTCAGAAGAATTGAGTAATTCTGGCGACTGATTTACTTTTCGGCATACTAGTGCCAGTTCATCGGACACTTTTAGCATTCTGTTCATCGTATGAAATTTACTGTTCCAACGTGTCGTAATATCTTGGATTAGTTTTAGTGGCTGAGCATTAGGATTTCTTTCTATCTGTTCTGATTTCAGAGCACGCCATCCAACAGACGACTTCTGTACCGACAGACGACTTGAGAACCGGTACACACCGGTTTTTAAAAAAAGAGAGTGTCGAGGAATACGCAGATATCTTTTTTTCTTTGTCTTTTGTTTGACTACAATCCTGCCTGATGGTAAGTGGTGATGCAGACCAAGATGGTAAAGCTCTGACTTTGCTTAACAAAAAGTGGAAAGAAGTGGAAAGACATACTCGTACTGGCAAATTATTCCATTCCTTTACTCTAGGCATTACAAACAAGGAGGGGTATCCATCGGCGTCGAGTCGACGCTGAAGTACCTAGGACTCGTCCTCGACGGCCGATGGAACTTCGTTGAGCACTTCTGACGTTTGGCTCCCAAACTGGAACGGACCGGGGCTGCCTTCAGGCGGCTCCTGCCGAACCTGGGGGGGCCAAACGCCTCCTGCCGGAGGCTCTACGCTGGGATCGTGCGGTTGATGGCCCTTTACGGGGCCCCGGTGTGGGCGCGTGGTTTGGCGCGGCTTGCCGTCCACCACCTGAACGCGTCCCAAAGGGTGGTTGCCGTGAAAATGGTTCGCGGCTACCGCACGATCTCCCGCGAGGCGGCGAGCCTCCTTGCCGGATTGCCGCCATGGGATCTGGAGGCGATAGTCCTCGCGCGCCTGCACGAATGGCGCGCGGAGGCACTATGCCGGGGGGAAACCCCGCTGCCGCGGCAAGTTGTCGCGCAGCGGACAGACTTCCGGCACGATCTCATGGCGACATGGAGAGAGCGACTGTCGCAACCCCGTGCTGGGCACGCCACTATAGCGGCGATAAGACCCCTCTTTGAGGAGTGGCTTGAGAGACGCCACGGCATCCTCACCTTCCGCCTGACGCAGGTCCTCACCGGACACGGTGTGTTCGGGAGGTTCCTGCACCGAATCGGGCGGGAGGAAACGCCCGGGTGCTCCCACTGCGAGGATGGACCGGAGGACACGGTGGAACACACCGTGGAGATGTGCCCTGCTTGGGCGGAGCACCGCCGTGTCCTCGTAGCGGCGATAGGCGGCGGCGACCTCTCGCGTCCGGCCCTGGTCGAAGCCATGGTCCGGAGCGAGACGGAATGGGATGCCGTCACCACCTTCTGCGAAGCAGTGATGCTAGCGAAGGAGGTGGCGGAGCGGGAGAAGGAGAGAGCAGCAGCTTTCCTCCCCGGCCGCCGCGGGAGACGCCCCGGGCGTCGGGGGCTACGTCGTGGCCCCCGGCCACCGTAGGCGTGGGCCTGTGGACGGCGAGCAATGGGTAGCTCGCCGTCCGTCCGTCTAACGACGACAGGCCGTGTCGACGGCGCGTTTTGTTCCACGCGCGCCTCAAAAAGCTGTCAGCAGCGTGAAGGGGCCCGCAAGGGCCGACGCCTGCCGGGGCTGCGGGCTGTTCAAAAGAGATACCGCGGCTCCGGAACGTAAGGGCACTGAAGGAACACGGATGGTTTTTAGTCAGTAAAAGTCTGACACTCCCTTACGCTCCACCCAGAGCGAAAGGCGTCATTAGATGATTTTCCGTCCGCAAAAAAAAAACCGACTGTTTGGTTTGAGTGTGTGGTATGCCGATTTGAGATTAACATTTTACTAATTTCTTTCAGTTTACCTGCATCTTCAGTAGTGAATGTATTCAGTGGGGAACCTTTAGGTATCTTCAAGCCTAAGGAAGTAAATTATGGCACTAAGCTTGAAATGTGGGAAACTTTGAACCAAAGAGAGTTGAATTTAGCAACATTACAACCGCCAGCTAATTATTTCCAGAAGATGATACTTTGGACAGAACAGGGCAAAGTCTGGAAATTTCCTATTAATAATGAACAAGGTATGTAATACTACACTTTAAAATACTAATTCTACATTAGCATAGCTAAATATAAAATTACCAGACCTCACATATCCAGACAAGTGACAGGAAGCGATGTCAATAGTGGCATGACTCCTGGGCGTCATTTGACCCACATAATCCATTTATAGGTAAGTCTCTTTGGTAAAACGTAAAGGCGGGTACGAAAGATGGTGAAGAATTCTTATACAATTTAGGCCTCTAGTCGATTGTATTCATCTATTGGATACTCAAGTGTTATTCGCCTACATTACTGAAGCTCGGCGGTAATGATCGCTATTTCTACCAACTGGAAATTTCATTGTGTTAAAGGCAAAAGACGAGACATCAAGATCAAGCTGTAAACATATTTAGAGGCTAAAGAGAAAATATGTAGTTTTATGAAGCAAATAATTTAAGGACGCGAATTACTTATTAATATTATTTTGATAATGAGTCCACCATCCGTACTCTATGGGCGCGACGAACCAATTTTGTTATATAACTCTCTCAAAGACAAGAGGAAGCTTTTGCCCAGCAGTTGTATGCTGAAAGCTGTTACTCAATTTTTTTAAATTAACAATGCTCATGACCGATAACAAAATATGATAAACAATATAATGTCTTATATATCAATCTTACCATTTTTTTATATAAAATAAGTCACAATCGAGCACACAGTCTACCTGATAGTAAGTAGATGCTGCAGAAAATGCAGATGCATTGTCATCCCAAGGAATAAGATGGAATGCCTCGTTTCCAGTTTAAAGGGTCTGGTGTTTTTTGAGTGTGGTCTTTCCCTGATCGAGTCGATCAATTCGAACAACTACCATAATATAGCTGCAGTGTGACTCGACCACATAAATGTCTCTTTTATATTTTATATCTTGTTCTTACGAGAACATTCACACGCAAACTTTATTTTACAGGTCTGGAGGAAGAGGAAGATGTTCACTTCTCTGAGCACATATTTCTTGACACCCACCTCGAAGGCTGGTGTCCCACGCGTGGGCCTATTCGTCACTTCATGGAATTAGTCTGTGTGGGTCTTTCAAAGAATCCATTCTACACGGTCCAAGAGAAGAAAGATCACATTATGTGGTACAAAGAATATTTTGAATCGAAAAAAGATTTATTAACTGAAGTGGGGGCATGGGATGCACAGCCTGTAGACAAAGAGGCGTCTGTATAAACACTTGTAGTAATATATTAACTGTAGAGAAATAAGGATTGATCGTTAAAAATATTAAAAACGTGTTTCATTTTCCAAAAATCTAATAATTATAACTTTATACGACACATCTCGTCAGGCATATATCAAAACTTCAAAATAAGATTGTACAACCAGTGCGTGTTGCCAGTGATGACTTATGGACTGACGTGGTCTGTCACTGCTGGCCTTATGAGGAAGCTCAGGGTCGCTCAGCGAGCTGTGGAGAGGGCTATGCTCAGAGGTGGATTAATTGTCTACAGCGCCCCAGGCGAGAACCTCGTCGGCCCTTCTCTAGTGGCCTTATATTATAAATCACATCAACTCTTCTTTTTTTATTTTGTAGGAGAGGGGACAAACGAACATACGGCTCACCTGATGTTAACTGACTACTGCTGCCAATGAACAGCTGCAACACCAGGGGAATTCCAGGTGCCGTTGCCTGCCTTTTATAAAGGAGTAAGTAAATGAGAAGGTCCCTAAGTCGTATCGGTCCGGAGAAATCGCGGGTGGTAAACTATTCCACAGTAAGGTCGTACGCGGAAGAAAACTCTTAGTGAATCGTACAGTGGTGGACCACTAAGTATCCAGATGGTGTGGATGGTATTGGGAGTTTTGCTGCGAAGTGCGTCCATGAAATTTGGCGGTTGGGATTAATCCGATCAATTCCTCAGAGCACTCCTCGTGATAGATGGGAAAGAAAATGCAAACGGATGCATCATCTCTTCGCAGCGCTAGTGAATCTCTGCGCTGGATGCGGTCAAGTGAAAGAAGCTGGCACTGGGGAGCCCCAGCTCAGAGATGGGAACAGTATTCTATGTGAGGCCGAACCTGCGCCTTTTAAAGTTGCAAGCGGTATGCCGGTATGAAATACTGTCCCACTCTACTGAGGACTCCAAGCTTTTCAGAGGCCAATTAGGCCTTCTCTTCCAAGTGACCACGAAACTGCACGCCACGAAACTCCGATCTGCAAGAAAGCTAGTGATCCAATTGCACAATTTCTGGGGAAGCTCTTTGAAAGGGAGCTTCGAAAGAAGCGCTTTGTGCCAAATCCGATCGAAGGCCTTCGCAATGTCCAAACTAACAGCCAATGTCTCCCCCTTGGACTCTACTGGTTCCGCCCATTTATGAGTCGGGTATACCAGAAGATCACCAGCTGATCGACCCCGACGAAAACTGTATTGGCGGTCACTAATCAACTGGTGATCCTCAAGTTGCCGCATGAGCTGGTAGTTTATAATGGATTCCATTATTTTGGAGAACAAGGAGGTGATTGCGATAGGCCTGTAGTTAGACGGATCTGAGTCCGAGCGGTCGTCTTTTTTAATATCCTCCAGACCAAATTACGGTCACGAGGGCCAGCCTCAACGGAGGCTAGCCATGGACATAGGACAGAATTATAGTGCCCAAGTGTATGCGCAACACAGGTCTCTATTCGCTCACTCTCATAATCCCTGGGACGGTAAAACGACACGAACGGAGAGAGATCCGCGCACGCCCCTAGGCACGTGCCTAGTTTGCCCCAGGGAAAATTTGCCATTGGCTATGCTCGGGATTTCTCTGCATGATAGACTTGGAAATAAGGATATCCGCTGTAGAACCAGAGTAACCAACATAGCCCAACGGATTAGTAAGCTGAAGTGGCAATGGGCCGGCCATATAGCTCGAAGAACCGACAATCGTAAAAAGGTTTTCTAGTGGCAGCCTCATTTTGCGATTTTAGACGAAGTATAGGTCGTCCCCCCACTAGATAGCATCCTGGTAAGATATGCAGGAAGCCGTTGGATGCAAGTGGCTCAGGATTGTGTTTTGTGGCATTCCTTGACGAAGCCTTATATTCAGCAGTGGATTTGTGAAGGGCTGTAATGAATGAATGGATGAATAACTATAATAAGGCTGTGTAGTGGTGACGTAAGACAAACCATATTCCATATGAACAGTGTGCAAGTGTCGTAAGAGGGTATTATGGGAAAATCATGTAATAACTTATGGCCAATAAATAAATAATGTTCTACAGACCAAACGGTCATGGCGGCCAGGCGAAAGCGAGTCTCAAGACTACGCAGATACAATAATATTTTTTATCTGCACATAAAAACTTAATTATCTAAAAGTATTACACTACAGATTCGTGTAGTGGCTTATGGTGCCATTCTCAGAATCAGTCATAATAGCATGTCAGTCCAACTATCTACTAGTAACTATGTATCTAGTAGTAAAATAAAAAAAAATGTACAATCGACTTCAATATAAATAAAATGAGAACATCATCAATGTAGTCGAAGTCAACTAAATATGCAATATTGAGAGGGCATATGCGTTTCGCGTCGAAAACTACATGTTTTATGGTTTTTCCAAATGCGACATCGTAACGATGTGAGGAGATTATTTACTGAAAATTAGGGCTTTAGAAAGATGAAGTCTTTATTTAGTACATAGCAATGCAAAATCACAGTTTTTACGAAAATATGCATCAGAGTTATCTTTCAGGTTGAATACAACCATTATTATAAGCTAAAATACTTTATTTTAAGCGTTATTATAATGGAATATATATAGTCTTTTAGTGTATAGCAAAACCTAAATTACGAAAATATTTCGATTTAATATTATAAAATCACTCACAATCAATCACAAAACTATCTACTTCAATGTAATTTTTTCCATGTATTTGGTTATAAACATATATATATTAATTATTTTATTCAAATACATGTAAAAAAAATATCCAAAAAAAATTTAGCTCGTTTTATTTTGTCAATTGTTTTATATAATTATTTTAAAAGTACTATAGATCATCATGCGCAGACGCCCAGTGTTGCCGTTTTAGCGACTTTCTCGCTAGATCTAGCGGATTTAAACAATGTTTAGCGGGAAAAAATATCGTTTTAGCAAGAAATAATTATTTGGCGACTTCTAGCGACATTTGGACTTTTGATATGGCGACTTTTTAAAAAAAAGTAAGTAATTCATTTCAAATAAGTTATTTACTTTCATCGTATGTCCAATTTTTAATCTACCGCTCGTTACACTGTATATGTATTATAATTTTACAGGAAATCCCGAACATAAACAAACAACTCAATGGCGTTCGTTCACTTATCATCTGTTTTGTTTATATCACTAATGAGTGAGATTAAAATACTGCTCACGTTACCAATGTTTCATTAAGCAGACTAAGCAGACTTATTTCTTTAGAGTTTATATTTTGTGACTGTTGTGTGTGAATATTCCTCGTGAAAAAAAATATTACTTTTGAATATTAGGCAGTATGGAAGCTCCACTGAAAAAGAAGAACTACACCCAGCATTACAGAAGTGAGTGGGAGAATAATGAAGAATTTAAACATTGGTTGAAACCCGTACCAGGTGACTCAAGTAAAGCATTTTGTAATTATTGTCGCTCTGAAATGTACGCGAAATTAAACGACCTTAAAAAGCATTTAGAAACGAAGAAACATAAAAAACATTGTCAATTGCTTTCCCAAAATAAAAAACTGACATTTTCTTCCACCGCAACGAAAATATGCAAAGTTTGTTCAAGAGCTGAATGCACATTAGCTTTGTACATTGCTGAACATAGTTCAATTTGCCACATTGACCACTTGACTGATGTATGTAAAAAATGCTTCAAGGATTCGAAATCGACTATCGATATAAAATTGCATAGAACTAAGTGTACGCAAATCATAAATGATATATTGGCGCCGCATTTTAAGAAAGAACTACGAAGTGACATAAGTGATCAAAAATATAGTTTACTTTTAGACGAATCAACGGATATAAGCGTCACAAAATACCTTGGGATCGTTGTAAGATATTACAGTTCAAAAGTAAATAAAGTAGTATCTGCTTTTTTAGCTTTGCAAGCCCTACAGAGCTCCGATGCTGTTGGTATAGTTACTGCTCTGATAAAATGTTTAAAAGATCACGACCTGGACTTACAAAATTTGGTTGGCATTGGAACTGACAACGCTGCTGTCATGACTGGATCCAGACATAGCGTTTATGTGATTCTTAAAACGCAATACAATCTTCCACATCTCATATTGATACCATGCGTCTGCCATTCATTACAATTAGCGGTTACTCATGTCTCAGAAAACACTTTACCGAGAAACATAGAATTTCTGGTCCGTGAAACTTACAACTGGTTTTCTCATTCAACAAAGCGCCAAATGTAGTATAAGAAAATTTTTGAACTAATCAACTGTGGTGAATCACCTCTAAAAGTCCTAAAGGTGTGTGACACACGTTGGCTCTCAATTGAACCGGCAATAGTCAGAATTTTGTCTCAATGGGACGAATTAAAATTGCATTTTTTTACTACTAAAGATCGTTGCTACACGGCTGAAATGCTATATACTATGTACTATGACGAAACAAATCGACTCTACCTGTGCTATTTAAGAAGTATTTTAGGTGAAGTGCAACAGACAATTCAAATCTTTGAAAGCGAGAAAGCAAACTTTTTAATTGATGGTTTTGCTACGTTCTATCTCTCAAAAAATTATATTCCCAACGGCAGCGACAACCGACAAAGACTACATAAATTTAAATATTAAAGATCATCTCAATCCTGTACCTTACCTTGGATATCTTTTTGAGTCGCAAGTACAACTCCCGCTCCCAGCAACCCATAATATCAATATTGCTGCAGTAAGATCAAAATGTATTGCTTTTAATGTTAAATTAGGAGAAGAAATTCAAAAGCGACTTCAAACCAACTATGCAGTGCTAGAAAAAATGTCTCTTTTAAGCGAAGAAGAGACATTAAAACAAGTTAAAAGTAATTCACTGGTAGAGCTTGCAGAGGAATTAGGCATACCTGATGAAAAAATTGACAAAATTTTGCAACAGTGGCAAAACATTCACTTTGTTGACTGGAACCCTTTAAATGGGGACCCAATTAGCTTTTGGGCAAAAGTAACTGCATACAGAAATGCAGCAGGAGTCAACATATTCGAAGATTTATGTGATTTTGCAATAATAATATTATCACTACCGCACTCAAATGCAGAAATTGAACGCGTATTTAGTGATATGAATGTAGTTAAAAGCAAACTGCGAAACAAACTATCTGAAAAAACTTTAAATTCCATTCTTCTGATCAGTTAAGGATTAAAAAAAAGAATTGCGCAACGTATGATATTCCTGAAGATGTTGTCAACCAAGTCGCTAAAGGCAAACCAAAGATGGGAACTGGAGACACTGGCGAAGCTTCAACTTCCGCTGAAGTTCTTTTTGAAGATCTAGATCCATACTACGCTATTGATTTTGAAATTTAGGTACAAGAACGTACTGAGCTGACTAATGTTTAAACGTGGTTTATATATTAAAGCTTTATTGTTTTAACAATATTTTTTTCTTTTGTACATGAATAATTTTTGTTTTGGTTGTCATAACATTAACCATAAATAACTGACTTATATGAAACGGAGTCCGCTCTTTTTAAAGTTTTTCTGAATTTATAGACACTTAAGTATTCATTGTATACGATTTGGCAAGGTTTTTCAGTTAGTCTAATGGTTATAGTTAGTACGAAAATGTACCTAGGGATATCTAGCGGATTTTAAGAAAGAGAAAAATCCTGTTTCTGGCGGATTTTTTCTGTTAGTCTAGGGACTTTAAAATTTGTAGAACGGCAACCCTGCAGACGCCGTCGATTCAGTACTTTCTGTATATATTCTCTACTCTATGTTCAGTACCATAGATTACTGTATATATACTAGAGATTCGACCGGATAATCCCAACGACAGGACTTATTACTTTTTCTCACCGACACCGCGCGATCGCGTTGATACACCGATAGGGCTATACTACACTATACTATAACTATACCTATCACCATCACAGCACCATCGAGCATTTTAAACGATTGAGACTTTTATAAGCGATATTTTTGATAGTAATTTTGAAATATGTTTATGATAGTAATATTTAAATATGATGTAATGGTGGCAAATTTTCATTTCATACATATTTTTTTTAGAAATGAGTAATGAACGTAAGCAATTCGGATCAAGTAAAAATACAAAATCGTTGGCTATCACCATTGGCTCTGTGGCGGAATGACTTGGTAATGAGTTGTAGCGCTGAGCACCGCGGGTTCGAATCCCACATGGAACAAAAATTTGTACTACCTACAAATAATTGTTCCAGGTCTGGATGTTTGTCCTTGTGAAATTAATGTTAAACTGCCCCCATGATGTACTTAGGAAAAATTCCTAGTGTGGAAATAACGTTATGATTAAACAAAGACATGCCATCAAAAACATAACTTGTAAAATAACCAAGTCTCGCAATGATGATACGGCCGTGCCGCTGTTTTGTTCGACTTGGCGGAGGCACTACCGTGCCCCCAGATATAAAACATATGAGCCGTGCTTGAGTTGAGTAGCTCAAGGGTGAAGTGCTCGCTGTAAACGCGAACAATCCGGGTTCAATCCCCGCTAGTGTTGCCAGGTGTCCCGATTTGCGCGGGACGTCCCGATTTTCAAGGGTCTAGTGACACGTCCCGATTCACCCTTGATCGGGACGCCAAATGTCCCGATTTTCGCTAACCTTCTTATTCTATAGGTACTTTAATCTATAATTTTGACAGCAAAAATGATTACATCCGTTAGCTACTACCACATTAAAATATTTTTACTACGACCTTGTCTTACCAGTCGAAAAATAAACACAAAAGTTTTAAACAGAATTATATTAAAATGAGTGATTTGAAAAATTCAGGGACTGCAAAAAAAAACACAAATAGTTCAAAAATGTTTTAATTTGCCTAAAATGAAAAAAATTCAGTTTTTACGATGTTTGGATGAAAAGTTATTCGTTCATGAGATCAGACCTGATTAATAATTATAAAGCACAAAAGTAAAGTAAAGTTACAGTCACAATTTCTCGCATTACTCGCATACTGTCATATTTACAGTGAGCATTCACCATCTGAGCTACCACGGCTCTCAATAAAGCACAAAAAGGCTACAAAGAAACCTATATTTTGTAGTCATTGTAGATGTCCGGATATGAAAACCAAATCCCCGATTTTTACCTTCCGTCCCGAAATTTTACTTGCTAGACCTGGCAACACTAATCCCCGCCGACACTAATGAAATTGTTAGTTTGATGAATTAATTATGTTTACATTATGAAACAGAATAAAAGTTTATCAAATGATATATATTTTATACAATACATATTTTTCAATTAGAACATATATTATAATATACTCAATAGGGTGAAAATGTAAAGCCGACTTCAATTTACTAAAAGAATAAAACAATTTCCACATATTAGACTCCGATTTCTATACACTATATAAGCCATTATATGGAAATTATTTTTTTATTATTTTAGTTCCAATACTATCAAAGACAGGTATATAATCAAAGATCAAAGTGATTCATGCAACTAAAGGCAACTATTATAGCCTCACGCTCGCTCTGACACGCACACAGATATAACATTGTTAGTGTGCGTCAATATTACGCCGTTCCAAAGCGATCGCGTAGATTTCGACTTGGACATATTTGAATATGCGCTCTTAAGTTGTTTACACTGTTTACACCAAAGAAATATGAAAAGGGGTAAAAATTAAGATTAAAACAACACATGTCACATTTTTTCACTTTATTGCACCTATAAAAGTACATATAGTTTCGATGTTTACTCATCCTAAATATTATTTCAGTTTACAAACTAGTTAAGAACATAAGTGTAGTTGTTACCTGTTTAAATTAATAAATAGGTACCATTTTATCAACTTGATTAGTGAACAATTTTCCCAATTTATATTTTATTAATTAAAAAATAAATGTCATTACATATTGCTATTTTATACCAGTAATTCCGACAAGAAATCGGGTTAAAATTATAAATCAAATTATCATTATTTGTAAAAAATCTTCGACACCTATATGACAGGATAATGCTTATTGTATAACTACCCAATTGTATTCTTCGTACCGTCAAAAACAAGGAACTCATTATATCTAAGTACACATTCTTACATTAATTGTCGTATACTTTAAAAGCCTCCAAAATAATCCAAATTAAAAAAAAGTACAAATAAAATGTACTAAAATCATCACATTTTGTACAAACATTTTTGTGGATATTTACACATTTAGGAAACTAGTAACAAATGTTACGGTTTTGTATAAAATTGTGAACATGGAAAGAAGAGGGCACGCTACTATAAACGTAACTGAATGTTTAGTAAATAATCAATAATCAAGGTAATATTTTTGTAAAAGCGAATAAATTAATGTATAAAATCCCCAAAATTCTAACATTACAAGATTGTCAAATATGCAGTTACATTTAAAGCCGGTTTACTATGAGCTTCATAAAATTATTTCTAATAATCGTATGATTTCCTTTGCATGAAACCTATTTGTAATTTGCTTTGCAAATGAAAATATGTAGAGGAAATAAGGTATAAAAATTTTACATAATATGAGTATTCAGTGAGTACTTACTTCTTATTACTATTGTCAGAATATTGTAAACGTGTGAAAAAGCAAAATACAGTTTTAATAAAGTAACAAGTGACTTTTTAACGTAGCACTGTAGGTTTGAATGGACTTATGACTACAGCTACACAAAACAACAAAGGAAACGGTAAGCCCATAAAAGTAAAACTAAAGTTACTAGAATCATCGATCGAAATTATTTTAAAATCAATTACTATAAATTCGAACCCAACAGATACGAAAACGAGTTAATAAATTCATGGTAAAAACCAGTATATCATTTAATTAGATCAGTAATTTTAATTACACAACGAAAAACACACAAGCTACATTTTATGGGCTATGTTGGAAGACCTTCAAGGAAGAAAACATTTTTTATGACGATCAAATCGCGTTAGAAAAAAATGTGCAGGCAAGAGAGTGCACTATAAAACATTATTTAAACCAATTTCAATTATACAATATATTGTATAATTGAAATTGGTTTAAATATCCTTTACTGTATCTTATAAGATACAGTAATTGATATTTAAATCAGGCTTTGCATAACAATTATACATTGAAAACAATCATTGGATATGTAACTGATTAATTTGTTTTATATTTCGTAAAATTGTGAATTATCTTAATTTTTTTAAACCATTGAGTCAGGGCAAAGAACACTGTCAACATACTGCCCTAAGAGTCAGGGCACTGTTGGTGAATGTCT